CTTAAAAGACAAACAAATTCTATAGTTATTCTATCATGAATTCTATTAACGTACCTTCAATTATCCATTCTCCGGTTGCACCCCAAGCGGTACTAACTCCTATGTAATTTATGACAAATGGGCTTCTATCTTTATAAGACATGAACGGCATGTCAAAATCATCCTCACGGCTAACACTTAATAGTCCATCGCAAGACCATCTATAGAATAGAAGCAAATGAGAGATATATACATGTACAGTTTTGTGTATCTAAATTCATCTTAAAATAAAATATATAATTTCCTTACTGTATGAAAATATCACATATCTCGTCAGGATTCAGTATGTCCCTAGTGTCTGCTTCTGCCACATCTGGTTCTGTATTATTTCTTTTTATCGCCGACATAGTATTTCCCCATCCTCCAATAATAATCTAAGATAATGTCAAATTAATATTATGTAATATATAGAGAAATATTTTTATTCTTTAAAAAATTATTAAACTGGTATGTAAAGCACAAAAATTATTGCAAGGTAGCATTACCTCATATACATTGGAGTCACTACCAAGATGTGTCCGTAAGGCAATCCTTGCATCATGGCTAGCTTTAATGCCTAAACTAACACTGTTTTTTGTGATGGGTATGTAACGATAGTCGAGACTGTCCACAGTTGTAATTCTGACTAGGAAAGAATTGTCAATTAGTATGATTGATCAAGAAACTATTATTCTTCTGTTGAAATCTTAAATAATTATGAGACATAATTCATAATGGAACTTACTTGGACTCATTTTTTGATAAGCTAAATTTCTTTGAATATACACAGGAATCAATATCAAAATGATTCATGCTAGTCATACACAGCAGCTTATATTCCCATGGTGCTGTGCTACCCACCTCTCTGATGAATCGTTATCTCTCATTATCTCAATTGGTTTCACTTAAAACGAATAATTATATTAAAATTTTACGTACAAACATACCGTTTGTTATCGATGATTACTATACTGTGTCATAAATGTAGTGTAACTTTTTATGATTGCTCTCTCGTCCATTCCCTTCGAAAGACGCTTAGTTCCATAAAAATAATCGTCATGTGAAATGAGTATAGGAAACTAGTATAAATTGTGTAATATAAAAGACGCAATAGCATATTCATGCGATCGTGAACTTCTACATTTTAGGAATGTGTGTGTGTGTGTGTGTGTAGGTCAAGTCGGTGCGACGTGTCGAGCAACATAACACTGTGTCCGAAATTATACAGATGATGCAACCGAGCACGTGCACGATCGTCGAGATGTCAGTTGGCCCAGTCGCTCGCTGTCTCGAGTGCAAAATCTCGCAAAATCTACACATCTGCGACTTACTGATAGGCGGGCATGACAGCTCTGGCTATATCGTAAATATCATTACCGGGAACACTTGCGACGTGACGCGAAGCAGAAGAATGAACGAGAGAGCGATCCTATCGAAACGATCATACGGTGATCGCGTTGCGAATCGCGAGTTCTGTGATTTTGCACTCACAATACTCACATTTTTCACACGGATGGACATCCCACTACCTGATTACTGTTGCCGTTGCGTTTTGGGTTGCGGATTGCGGGAATGTTGTGTTGGAACGTTGGAAGTTGGAATCGTTGAAATGCCAACAACGTCGCGATTTTGTCGACGTATCGATACTTTCATCTCGATATTCCCAGCGATTAGCATCAGTAGTTTTCGCTCTTTGCTACAAAATATATGATTACTCTTGTCACATGTATCATCGCAAGGGCTCGGTGATACATTAATTATTATGATATTAGAAATATCAGCTTATATGATATTAGATTATCAATGGTATTGATGCAATATTCTGCTTGAAATAAAATGTCTTCGGGTTTGCGATATATCGCGCGCCAAGTTAAATTCGGAATTACTGACTTCTATAGAAGTCTGTGTTCAGGATGTTGCATGACATACATAATTGGCCTGAAGATACGATCGCATCAGCTACTTTTTCTCGAAGGTCAAGATTTTACTTGCATTGGTTTTAAAGAGAGTTTCATGCTCGGAATTAATTGCGTTCGACTTTCCATTTAGATTTTACTTTCTGTACACTATGACGTGCACGGATACTTACACGGTGATCGGTGTTACTAAAAGGTTATAAATAATTCAATTCTTAATTATGGGAAACGCAATTTCAATATATATAACAATAATAGTATATAACAATGCGTAATCATAATTAAATCAATTAAAACAACTGCTTTTAACTCTTATCAAACGTATGTAATTGCTCACTTTAGATCTATATCTTTGCATTACATTTTTGAGGATAGTATTTATAAATTATTTATTTATAAATTGATACGTCACGTATTTTCTTGTACGTATGCATTTCAGTGTACATTTAATACATGTTTTATTAATATATGTGTATTTTGATTCTTCAATTTTTTGTATTAAATATATACATAAATTCTTTTTTGTTTTGTAAAATTACTTTTTAGTGTAATGGAAATAATAATAACAATGTGGAAACATAAAAAATAATTAAAGGGATAATTTTTGCATTGTTCGTTTTAGAAAAAAATAAGTTTGAAAAAATATTTAAAAAATTGCTCATACACAATTGTGCATAATTTTATATATAATTGTACATAAGTAATTTTTTTACATTTCTTTAAACTTGATTTTTTCTAAAACAAACAGTGTGAAAATTGCCCTTTTAAGTATTTTTAATGTTTTCACATTACTATTAATATTTCTATTACACTAAAAAGTAATTTTATAAAAGAAAGAAGGATGTATGGACATATTTCATATATGATTATACGTGTTTATGAATATTTATGTATCTTTATAAGATATAGAATTTCATCTGGAATTCTGGGTCAAATTATAAATCGTCTAAAGTTATTTTAATTGCAGTTATTTTAATTGCATATACTTAAATAATAAATTTAAATGAAATTAGAAAAAATCCAATTTCGTTCTACATATTAATGTTAATGTCATGTACATATTTTCTTTCCTTTTATGTTACAAACGAATTAATAACAATACACATATATATCGAACATGATGCACATTTACACATAGAATCGTTTAAAAAAAATACACATTTTATATCAAACGTTATTCGCGTACTAACGTGGCATATAGTACGCATGCAAAACAATAGAGACATTGACATTTACATTCAACTGCCGGGGTTATTGCCGTTCAAGTACCTATTGAAATACATCTGATTAACTTAGGATCAGTGTGCTTGAATGAATACATGCGAACGCACGTGCGTGCGCGGAAAGTAGAAAGCATTAAAAAGGACAACGAGCAAAACTGTAAACGTTGTACAGGTGTACTTAGACGTATACGTACTATTCTGACTTCCGTGAATAAGTGGCAAAGAATTGTAATTTTTTCTGCTTCGTTTACGAACTTTCAAGCCGGCTGCACAAACTTGAAACGCTGCGAATACATCTGGTACATTCATACGCACGCGAATTGTTTCGAGCGAGATTTATTTCTAATGTACTCTTTTAGTTTGCTATTTATCAGTTGTACTTTACCAGGGATAATATTAACATTATCTCCGTTCAACAGAAAATGCAACTGTTGTAATACTCTTTAATGTAATTGCCCTTAGTTTTTTACTGGATCTAAATGTATAAACCAATCATATTAAAGAATAACAATTGCAAAGTTGCTTTTTCTGCTAAACGCCGTTATTAAATTTTATTTTATTTTATTTGTTTAAGATCATAAACTCTATTCCTTTATAGGATAATGATTTACAATATTCGCGATAAATACAAATACAAAATTAAATATAAAAGATTAATATGTTATTTGCTGTAAATAATAAAAAGAAAATTAAATGTTTGTGAGTGGAAATGTACGCTTTCTACAGTAAAAGTTTCAAACCGTGAGAAATAAGGTTCTCACATTAGATTTGCTATATTTAAGGGAATGGCAAAAAACTTTCTTTTTCACATAGCAACATTTACTATTCAAGCAAGACACACTTAAATACGTATACGTATTTAAAATATGTTTAAAATATCCTTCGGTCGGAATTTCAATTAGTTCAACTTAAAAATTTTCGTAAAAGCGTATATCTACATATCCAGATTAAATTAAATCTATAACATATGATAAGCTTACGATTAATTAGGATACAAATATATGAATAATTTATAATCATATATAGATGAAATTTTTATATTCAACTAAGCAATTATAAATATTCATTGCTATATAATTGAAATTGAAATCATTTCTGATATAATAATTAATAACAGTTTTATATATCTCGATATTATTTCTCAATTAAATTTAATTTGGTATCAAATACCTGTGATATAATATTAAAAAAAATATTTGAAAATGTGTATATGTATGGAAATAATTTTGATTATGCTTTCTTATACTTTTTTACAGTTTACGATTGATTATAGCATCTAATATTTTCTATGCTACATGAGGAAGTAATATAATAGGTACTTGTTAAGAGTTAATTTCATTAATGACTAACTTGCAAATGCATAGCAGATTGATAATAGTATAAATCATACGTAAATTACGCATTTCATTACTGTACCATAAATGTTTTTTATAGGCTATTATAAGATCGACTTACCCATTACTATGTCGTGCAATCATAGTCATGTAAAGAGTATTATAATATGGCTGATTATTGCAATAGGGCAAAGGCGGAAAGACAATCCTTCCTAGATTTATTTCATGCAGCCTTCGTGCATTAGGTATGTAGGTGGGTCATAATACTGCACCTCACAGTTCATCGTGCAATTGCACAGAGAAGTGACCCGTTGCTTTCCCTGTAAAAGCGAAGAGCTAAATCAGGTTGACTCGTTTCTCTCTGCTCTGTATGGTCGGATCCCGACCAATGTCACATCAGTATGTGCGCACCGAGATCGCTTTTACCTTTTCGTAAAGTGAGGGAGTGGGATGCTGGGGGTATAAAACAGAAAACAGCACTTTTTCCAGCCAATATGTGTGTAGTTTCATTTTAGTAGACACCAGAAAGGTGTTTAGTTCTTACTTGTTTAACATTGAGTTACTATTGAAACGTGGCGAGAGTCAGTATGCTGCTAGTAAGTAGACACAAGTTCAATTTACAAGTGACGTCTGAATATTTTCGGATAGCAAAGTTTAACACATTTATGTCTCGCGTACGGAAAAAAAGCTGTTGCTAAGAAAAGTGATTATTCAGGTTTATCTTTAAAAAAAATAAAAAAATAATGTTTTCTTTATAATAGTTTTAAAATATGCTTTCTGTAAATTTTCGAAAAACTCATTATTGTGCACTCAAAACAAGAATTTATTTTCTTTTGAAAAATATAAAATTTCATCAAAGAACCGACTTTATACATGTAATAAGCAAATCAAATTTTTTTTAATTTGATGATTTTGATTGTTAAATATTAAACTTTAGCAGAATGCAGAATACATTTTAAACAAATGATGCTTGTGATGAACTTACGATGGATTTACGGATATATGAACTTTTAAAATATTTGAAACAATTAGTGATTAATATTTAAACACAGTATGTATAATATCTTTTTGTGTTTAATATTGCGCGTAATGTTAAATGTTGTTTGTCAGTATTTAAGAATACATAAAAATGGAAGAAATAAAAATTTTCTATTCTTCTTGTATAATTATATTTAATTAATTATTCAGATTTATATAATATACTCTTATTATAAATATATTTTGTTTAGAGAAAGCATTTTGAATAAAATTTTGATTTATTATCACAATTTTAAAATTATGCATATTACTTTGCTTTTTGAAAGAAATTTTGATTTAAATTATTGGAATAATTTGTGATTATAGCCGCAGTATTCTTTTAATTTTACATTAGGTGATATGTTGATTAGTTTTTCGTGATGTAATGTTATCTTTTCAGAGCGCAGTGGTTATTTGTTATTGTATGATAGCTGCAAATGCAGAACCTCTGAAACCGCCTCTGAACAGTATGTATTGCTATTATATTGCTTTCTATATTCCTGTATTTCCGTAAAAATCTTACATGCAAACTAAAATTAGAGTTGAGAGAACATTATTTTATAAAAATAACGCAATACTATCGATAATACGTTATTTTTATAAAGTAATATTTTTTGTAAAAAGTAACACAATATCGTTATTGTTACTTAGAAAGTGATAATTCGTTATGTAAAGTTAGGTATTGAATTAAAAAATTATATTATTTAATAATCAATAAAAAGAACTCTAAGCCAATTTTTATACATATAGTAAGCTTTTCTTTATATTAAACTTATGTAATATAAATTTTCCATAATTTTTCATATACATATTTTTATTATTGACTATATATTTATTTTTAAGAATTTACATTCATAAACGCAAATTTTATTAAAAATTTATAGTACGCATTATATGTATATACTATTGATTTTTAATATTAACTATCGGAATGCAGCCTAAGATATAAAGTACAAAATATTTTTCAATATTTAAATTTCTATTCAAATAAAATATTTCGATTCAATCAAAAATAATATATTTATTGAATAGGTATTAAAAAGATAACAGGGAATTAAAGTTATAAACGATAAAACGGCTGAATTCATTACTGTAAAATATGACGACGTTACATTTTACTATTACAGACAGAAAAAAAATAACAGCTGTTGTCTTAAAAATGTAATGATAACGGTAATCATATTACGAGTAACTCGTTCTTCCCAACCCTGACTAATTGTAAGATTAATCACAGTACTTCCCGGCAAACATCAACTAACAATAACATAACTGTTATAATTTTTCATTCAAGAATATAACTGTTACGTGTACATAAGCTACGTATTATTAATTATATTATGGTGTGATATTGTTGAATAGGAAATTATAACTAACAGTTATATTACTATTAGTTGTATGCTGAAGCGAATAAAATATTCTATTCTATTACTATTAGTTGATGTTCGCTGAGAATTCAGAACATTAGCAATATATTGAAATCTTCAATTAGAAATAAATTGAGTACAATCTATTCCCATTTCGTATTGTAGGCTACTCTTTTACTAGCGGTATCAATGGGTACGATTACAATGGGTACAGTAACGCCGCTGCTAGTAATGGATACTTGGGATCTAAGGATAGCTATCGAAACGATGGAAGCTTTTACGGTGCTTTTACTGGAGACATCAATCACAAATTACCCAACCATGTCGGCGCTCACTCGTTAATTAACATCGGTAATCAGGGACATCAAAGTAGTATCGGAGGAAATGACGTAGGAAACAGTTATAACGGATATTCCGCGAACGATCAAGGAAATGAATATGCAGGATATTCCAATACTTATGAGAATTCTGCAAGTGAACCTTATACTAAACCTACTTATCCAACGTCTTCACCACTCAGAGGACATATTGACGCTAATAATAACGGAGAATCGATTTTTAATGCGTACGCAAGCGATTCGACTCACAAAGACTCTGATTTTGGTCAATACACAGCTAGTAGTAGCAGCAGCAGCAGCGATAGCAGCAGCAGCAGCAGCAGCAGCAGCAATAGCAATAAAAGAATACCCGCTTATTCCGGATACTCCAGGCCAACCCGGATATCAGACAACTATCCTGAAAGTTCTACTGATAACGGCATACAGGGATATCTCGATTCGTCTGGCTCTTCAAGCTATTCCGAAAGTGATCACATCTACTCGCCTTATTCGCCAGGCGGTCTAACTAGCGAGCACTCGTTTGGAAAGCAGAAAAACGACCCGTTGAACTTGAAAGGAGGCAACAAGCACAGCGGCGGCATTTACTTGATTCCATCCGGGACGCGTTACACGCGGGGAAATCCTGGGCACGTGAGCTTCAATCGCGACGTACCGTCGTTCATATCAGGAGATTCCGGGTTGAGCAGTCACTTTTCCCAGCCACACGGTATCTATTCTTCGGGAAAATTGAATAAATACGGCTACAAATTATCTCGTTACACTCCGAATAGCAGCGCAACTTACGTGCCGAGAGAACGCGATGGCTATTACACGCCTTATAGTAAGGGTAGTGGGAAAGTTATTATAATTAAGAACAATAAACCGAATTACGCCGGTCGTGTTTACTCCGAGGACCCGATTTACGCTGGCAGCAACGGTGGTTACAGGAGTAAGAGTTTTGCAAATGGTTTCTCTGCTTCATCGAATTTTGATGGATACACTGGCAGTAGTAATTTATACAATGACGGTCCCACTGTACCCAGACGATACAGGATGGTCAGTCCTGTATTTGTGCAAAAAAAGTCTGCAACGTATATTTAACAATATCCTTAATTAACTTTTGATTTAAGATCATATTTAGAAAATACAATACACATTAATGTTTAAGATATTTGTATATATATATTTATTTTATAAGTATTTTAATAAGGATTTCTTCAATGCATTATTCAGAATAAAAGTATCTGTCCATCTTTCGTAAATATCCAAATGGTTATTTATATTTTTATATTTCCTATTCAATTTCTCATATAGGATAAATACTTTAAGAAGTTTATAAATATTATGTCATATATTTAATATTAATGAATAAGTGTTCTTGATACGTTTTGTTTGCCAAGACTCCTTTTCCTGTGTTTTTTCTTTTCATAGAACTAATTAATTAGTATAAAAGACAAATACTTATGAAGTTCCTTAGATAGTATAAATAATAATATAATCTATTATTTAATATTATTAATCAACTTATATAAAGCAAATCAACACATATAAGATCTATATGTATTTATTTTTTAAATACCTGAAAATCACATTTGTTCATTATTTATGATAAATATACGTAAGAATTGATATAACAAAAATATTGTAACACACATCTAATTCTACAATTTTTATATAATAAAATTATATAATATTTAACGTCTAAACTTTTCGATGGAATGTTCATGGAGGAGTCCTTGATAATTTAGGCTTAGCTAAAAATGCCTCTTCTTCCTTAGCAAGTTCTGGATCATTTTTCCATGAAGTATCGTTAATTACATTGCTGTTACAGTTATTACTATTCCTATAAATAATGCTATTACTAAATAGATTTATAATAAGTGCGAATAAGAGAGAGCAGAAGCATTTTTAACACACAAATAATAAATCTAATATAATTTATTTAATATCATTTGGTATAAAAATACATAAATTGCTATATAATAGAAACGATAACGTTATATATACAAAGCGTATAAATAATACAAAGCACGTGCTTCAAAAATAAATATTCAAAAGCTGTAAGAGATGCACCACAACTGCAATGATTGCATAAAATGTTACTTACAGCGATGCTATACTACTGAATTTCTCTTGAATTTCTGTAAAAATCAGATTAAAAAATTTTACTAAAATTATAATTGATATATAATACAAAAATTATTTTATTTTTCTCTAATTATTTTTATCTTTCAATGTATATAACATAAATTTACAGGAAAAATGTGGATTAAATTCATAACAAATGGCATAGTGTATTCTAAACTATCGTTCCAAACGACAGGAGGTGGTTTTTAAATAGTTCTAACAATTTTGAAATGTGTCATCTAACTGGTTAATATTTATCTGAGTTTCTATCACTTTCATTACGTGCTCCAATTTTCCCAAGGTTCTGCGTATATAGGGAAAGTTGTAAAGCTTTCACTGAATGTTGTTTGTGAATTATTCTTTTAATGTGCCAAGTTCGTAATTTTGAAGTCAGTTTCAAACGACAATAGGAATATAATACTGAATATGCTACTATTCAAACAATAGTTAATAATGTGAAGTATACATACCTGCTTGGCCATTTTCACGACTGGGTACAAGAATTGTAGAAGATGTTACTGCAGTTTCACTGCTATCTCTGTAAATCGATATCTGTTAACTAATGAACTACAGAAATAATTACACATAAAAATTTAATTGCAAGATTGATTACGAAATAAGTTAACATGACTATATTATATATTTTACTTAATTATTTTTGCGTGTAATGCGCGCGTTTAAATTACTCTTTAATTAATTAATAACGCACTTGGAAGTCCGATTTTCGTATAAATATATTGTATCGTTAGGTATTGTTCTTCCAGTAAAATTTCGCTTAAAAGATTTCATCGTTTCTAAAGGTTTTTCTAATTTTGTTTTTCTGAATTTCTCGTTATACAATTTTCCTGCATTAATCTTATCCTCTAATTTACGTGATTTCGACTGATATCGTATATTATTATTTATTCTAAACCTTGAATTTACTTCTGTTCTAAATTGGTTATCGTAATCAAATTCATAACGATTGTTCTTTCTTATTGCATTTGCTGGCCAAATTATATTTTTTAATACAGTTATATTTCTCTCTTGTTTTTCATATGGTTGATTATTATATCTCATAATTAAGGAAGATTCAGTACCGACGAACTTTTTTGCAATGCTTTGAACTTTATGTGTAGAAAACGATTTTTTCGTGCCGTTTGTGACAATTTGCTGTTCCTTAAAAGTGTACCGACATTATCACATAAATAAAAAAGTAGAAATTAAGTCAATATCGTGAATCTATTTTAAATATTACCTTCAAAGAGAAATTTGACAAATCTGACAGTTTAGCGAAGGTTGCTTGTTTAGTATAACTTTCTTTCGGTAATATTTTTTTTTTCATCTTGATATTATATCTACCATATATATTATTATTATATTAAATTAACAGTTAGGCATACGTAATTTCTATATAATGATATATTAAACATAAGTCAAGACCAATTTGGCCGTTTTCTTTATGTAAAAAGAGTAGCTATAATATTAGGTTTTGTATATGTATATGTATATGTAAGTACCTTAGCGTAGGATATGATGGATGTTTATTACAGACGTGGTTCTTGTGTTGATTACCATAAAAATCGATAGAATTCAGCGTAGATATTTGTTGTAGAGTCGTATCCGTGTTTAGAGTCTCTTGAGAAATTTTCGAAGAAACGCTGTAACACATTGCAAGCAACGTTTCTCCATTCAATTCGCCAATATAATTTTGCAATGGATCGTTTTCGTCTAATTCACTTTCCAACACATCCAAGTCTTCCTATGAAAATGTTAGATGTCCAAATTTATTCGGTATTCGGTATCATCGATATTCATACAGTATTTTCGTATTTACATTTCTTACTTACGTTATCATCATCTCCGGTCTCGTCATTCTGCGGTGTGTTAACATTTTCACATCTTTGTATCCTCAGTACATGATCTAGATGCTTTCTATTGTGCCAAAATTATTATCGTTTAAGAGATAAAAAAGTTTTATTACTTTTTTAATCGTTTTTACGAATATGAATGTTCTAAATATCAAAGTAAAAATTCGCAATATATTTCAATAAAAATATAAATTATAAATCTACTAAATGTGCATTTATAATATTATTTTATATATTTAATGCGGAAATTGCTATCTTTAGAATTAGAACTTTCATTTTGAATATTTTATTTTATGTGAATATGCACCTTATTTCCGCAGATTTCTGATTATTACCAAGATATTCCGATATATTCGAACGCTTAATTTTTCTTGCTTCCTCATTGATTACGGGATTGTTCAAAAAATTGTTTAGCGCTCCATTGATGTACGGTAGTGACTAATAAATGATACGAAAAATTCCTTTAAAGACATCTCTTGTATTAAATTTCCTAGATAAAATTTTTCTTTTCTGAAATAATTTTATTAAATGTGTAATTTTACTCACAGATGAATAATCTATTGAGAGAAGGACGATCAAGGTAGACATGAGTAATGAAGATATTTTGGACGCTCTGGCTTGTGCTAGCCGATGTAACGATAAATTCATTAAAAGTGCAGTAGCGTATTCGAGCCTATATAAACCTATGATGCGACATTTATCGTGTAGATGATTAATCAACCATTCCAGTAGTCCACTTTCTATCATATATATTCGTTGCTGTCTACGTAAAGATAGTTTTTGTAACATCGCCACCATCATGTCACAAGCAAAAGGATCCACTCCGTCAGCATAATTATTGTCGAGACAAGCAAAGGTCTGAATATCGAGACGATTGCAATTTTTATTAATGCTATTCAATTTCACGATTATTTTATGATCGTCTTTGGTAATGTTTGGTAAATATATTAAAACTTGTTTGGTTTTGATGTTCTAAATATAAATGATGACAAGAACAGCATGTCCGGTCGATAAAAAGTAACGTAACATCTATGTATAATATGTATTCGTACTTAACAATGAAACTGTTATGTATAATATCTGTTATGTGTTATACGATAAGATAATATAGAGTAATATTCATAGTCGAAACTTATATTTAAGACCGTCTTAAGTAGTCTTAAGATATTATAAGGTAATCACAAAGCAATATTAGCATCTGAAGACATTATCTATAAGACAGTCTTAAAATAAGAACGAGTTTTAAATATCGGCTGTAGCGATATTATGGTACTTTTAATTAATAATTGGGTGATTATACGAGTAATTTATATAAAAACATACCACGTTTATAACAGAGGATCCAACCGATAGATAATCTCTTCCGCATCTGAAGGATGCCAAGGTGTTTAGCAATCGTGCAACGAATTGTTGCAAAAGATGCCTGGCGTAAGCTTCTCCCGCTGTCAACAGACACGGTAAAATCGACTTGCCGTTGTCGCTAGCAATCTGTCCGTGAAGTCCCAACAAATCACGACTTATATATTCGTGTAGGATTTCATCCTGTTCTGCTGATTGTACCAGTGTTATTTTCTAAAAATATAGACGTGCTTTTTTTTCAAAGATTACTGATACCATCGCACTATTTTAAAGCTATTAATCATCTTAATACCCAACGCAACGCTTGTAACAGCAACAACTTTGTCTTTACATCTCCGCTAATTAGATGTAATTTGATCTTTTTATAATCTAATAATTTGGGAGATACCGGTACTCCTGTGACATCAAGTTTAGGCAGTGTAATTGCTTTTACGTCAATACGGTCGAGTTGTAACAAGGACGGCTGTCGAAAAAGTAGCCATACATTAAAAATGAAAAGTTTATAAAAAAGTTTAGAAGAATATATACTACAAGCTCTTTCTCCCTTTTTTACTTACATACGAAGTCTCTCTTATATTTTGATTAAATAAATCTGGAAATATCTTCATACAAATCTCGAGTGTTCGTTGTATATCAACATCTTGCCCTTTCACTGAATTCTCCAATGCCATCGTTAATTCCCCGGCAACATCTATTAGTTTATGATAATCCGCGTGCAACTTGTGAAATCTCACTTTTAGTTTTTCATAATTTGTATGTATACTGCACAAATGAGATTTGATTACTGCTAATTCACGATTATATTGAATCAATC